GCCAGTACATATAAAATAAGGAAGAATACCGAAAGAACATCAATCAGTAAAACAATAGAAAACAGTAAACATTCATACGTTATCAAAACACATTAGACTGAGCTACAGTAGTCCTACGAACAGCAGTGGTTCACAACATGATTCCATGAAAGATTGAAAAAATCAGAATCCTTTCAAATAAAACTGTCTGTTGAGGAAAAACTGCCCTTTTGTAGGCGCTTGTGGATCAGGGTTTTCATTCAGTTTTAAAGGGGAAAGCGTGGCAACCTTTTTGCAGCTTAGATAACCCGTTTTAGAAATCATTTGGATGGTTAAATGGCCTGTCTTCTGGTGAGAAATGGTGACCCCCCCACCCCCTCCCGGCGACCCAGGGCGAAAACCCAACCTTGCAACTTTGGCGGAAGCTACACCGTCCCCGGTCAAATTGGAAATAGGAAGTATCGGCGAGAGCGAGAACGAGCGAGAAACAACGAACGCGACTTTTACGGCCAATTCCACATAAACGCACACCGCCGCCCCCCGATCCCCGAATAAACGCGCGCTCCTAGGTGTATAATGTTTACCAACGCTCGGTAGAGTAGCCTTGCCTCCACACCGACAGCAAAGTTGCCCCGGCGGAAAAAACAGGCCATGCCCAGCAGCGGTGAGAAGAAAGAGGGAGGAGGGCGCCGCCAAGGGTGCAGTTGTTTTAGCGACCGTGGTTGTTGAAATAGCAACGCTCCAGTAGCTGTAGGGGGGGACCTCGCTGGAAAACATCTGAGATGAGCCAAAAGTGAAAACCAGCGAAGGAATGGCTAGGAGTTGCCCAGTTCCCCTTTGAAGGGCTCTGAGCTGGAGGGTTGGGAAACGCTGATCTACAGAACGTTTCTGTCACTTTTTGTTCTCTTCCCAGGTTTTCTGATGTGACCTGTCTGGTCGGTTGGCTCAGATGAGCAGCGAGGGCCGGCCAGTAACGTTAACCCAGAGGAACGCCAGGTGAGATGTTTTACGCTGAATGTCGCAGCACTCTGGCTGCAGAAATCTTACAAAAAAAAAAGGGATAATGTGAATGACTATTTATTTATGAGCGAAAACCCTAAATTTACCTTTTGTGGCCTTTCTGTAGACTTGTTGAGGACTGTCAGCCAGCCACCGGTTCGTTACCTTAAAGTCCAGGGCAGAAGTCTGAGTTAACAACAGTTCAAATATCTTTTCAAAGAAAATAGAGACCCTCGTACATTAATGGTTGGATGGAGAAAAAAAAAAAAAACAGTTCGTTTTTGTGTATGATATGATTATTATACAGTTTAGTGCTTGTGCGTTATATTCAAGTTGGACAGATGAGAGCTGCGCGTGTTGCCCTTGATGAGGTCAACTAAATATAAACAGTAGGCCCAAGCAGACATTTGTTTGAATTAATTTTAAAAATTCGATACCATTTTAATGTGACATTTGTAAATGGGCTCTCACTTTTGTACCACTTGGTTGAGGGTTTTGTGCAGCAATAGTTTCTTCTAGATAACGACGCAACTGAATTGAGTGCTTCTGGGTAGTTTGGTTTCCAGCCTTTTTACCAGTTTGGTTACTGTTTGAATAACATTTAAGTTGAATGCAATGAATCCAATTTTCAGGTGCAAAGAATTAAATATATTTTGAGATTAGACTAGTAAGTGGTTCCATTGTGTGGGGAAATAAAACCTTCAGCCAGGTAATGCTAGAAACCACAGCACGCCTTCTGGACCCCTGCTCATGCTCCACCCCACTGGAGGGGCCCCCGCTGCTGGGCCAGGATCGTCTGTTCCTGGTGCTTGCTGTTGACCACCTCTTATCATACGCATTCAATACAAACTACTGCAAGCTACGTTGGTGATGCTTGTTTAAGTTAATATTACATAAAGAAGGAAATACATTTTGGACTCAAAGGACAAAAACAAACCAAACCAATCCTCAATAACCAGCGTGTGATTAAAGAAAATAAATATTGCTGTAATTAAACGCCAGAGGAATTTGGCGCCCGTAACGAAGTCCACTGGATGTCCAAGCTGTGTAAAACATCTGCGTGGTTAAGGAGGAAAAAGTTACTGTCAGAAGATGGGATTCGAAACCCACCGCAACTCCCAGAGGGAGACTGGCGACCTGAAACGCAGCGCCTAGAGCCGCCTCGGCCCATCCTGGACGAATAGAGCGTCACGGTGGGTCGACGTACATTTAAACGTTCCTTTAATTCAATAGGAACAGTGCAGCGTTTCCCCACCGGGTCGAGAGAGGCGGCGCTCGCCTCCCTACCACTGACAGTCTCCTCCTGTTTGTGTTGCCCCGCCCATCCGACCCCCTTCTGTTTTTTATTTTAATCATTGAATAACTGGACCATTCACTTTTTTTTGACGTAGGTTATATCGTTGCAATAGGAGAGACATCTATGGCTTAAAACTTTTCTTCCCCTCGTTAAGGTCTGTCAAAGATATATAATGATAAAGCACTGTAAAAAAGTTTTAATTGTATCTAGTGAGAATTTGAGAATCACACGACAAAGGGGGATATATTTTTGTTTATAAAATGGTTCTTGGGGCGAGGGGCGGAGAAAGGTTTGTTCTCATTTTACGTTTTTTTTTTTTTTAAAATAGCTCACTGAAATATGAACAATTTTATGGTGTTATTTTATGCTCTTTTTCTGCATCATGTTGGTTTTCTCACTTTTAATTCCTCCTCGCCAGCAGAAGTGCCCCACAGTTGAGCTCCAGACCAATCTTTTATTTTTTATTTTTTAAATATTAAATTCTCAGTGAGTGGAAACACTGTTATTTCATTCCGTAGCGAGAAAGCATGGGATTTCTTTCTTTTTTTTTTGTGATGTTTTAGATAAAAACTCTGAAAAAGATTCTCCAGAGGAGGATGGAAACAGTCCAGAGAAGGATCTTTAAGTGCACAACATTACTGTAAATATTTGGGTCCACAACTGTCTCACTCTTTTACTACTGTAGAAACCTGCCAGGCTACTAAAAACTGCAAAAACTAATGTGATTTAACATTTTGGTGACAGATAATCCGACAGAAAGTTCTGCTAAAACTGGACTGCCCCCCCCCCCCCCCTTGCTCCTCACTGGTCAGTGGGAGTAAATTTTTAAATGTTCCTCCCCCCCAATCTGAGGGAACTTTATTTTACTTCTTTTAAATCTAATAGTCTTTTTTTTTTGCAGAGTTGTGTGAGATTAACTTGGATTGATTGTACCCTAAATTCAAGCCAGAAAAAGGATTTCTTTCACTCACAATGTGATTAATGTTGGTTTTTCACAATAAAAAAAAAAAGAAAACTACTCTTTAAGTCCTTGTTTGCTTTACAGGTATTTATTTAAAAACCTTGTGGGAAAAAAAAAAACATACTTGCACAAAAAACAACCTTGTTTTTAATATTAAATATGTATCTGCAAACTGTTCTGAGAAGTGGATTACATTTGGGACCTCTCGTACTGTGGTAATAATCTCTGTTTTTCTGCGTTGGAGGCAGAAAAGTGTTCTGTTTTTACACCAGCTGTGGTTCGGGGAGATCCAGATGTTTGTTTTTGGGGGGTTTTAGGACTGGAGTCGAGGTGACAGAATTGTGATTGTACAAATATATTACACACACAATTTCCATAATCCCACGTTCACCGCTGCTGCTCTGCTGATGTAGAAAAGGAACGCACTTCAAACCCCAAAGTTTAAAGGAAAAAATACGAGTTAAAAAATAATAGTGACGTTTCAAATGTATCTCTCTTCTGCAGTTTGTTTGAGTGACTCCATCCTGTGTGGGTTTATTTTATTTTTCTCTCCAGGAGCCTCCACTAAAACCGATTCTACATGATGAGATAAGATGCTGTTATGATAACTGACCTGTAAAAAAACAAACACAAAAAACCACTTACAGACGTGTCTCCTCTCCTCCTCCCCACAAAAACTACTACTACTCCTTTTTAGGTTTCAAAAATGAACTGAATCATTTAAATGGTTTCATGTTTAGCCTTTTGTAAATCATTAATAAATACAGATTTTTCAACAGTGCAGGCTGGAAGTGTGTTCTTTTGTCATTGCAGTAATTGTGTGCGTTGATTATTTCACACGAGAGCTCCGAACGAGCTGCGCTTTAAACTGATTTCATGGGTTATTTCAACTTTATGATGCTTCTACATTTCTGAGTACACCTCCTTTTAAACCACAGCTACACTGGACTACACTTTTATCCACAAAACCACATTAAAATGAAACCACCTTGCAGTGTATGAAACTGTTTGTTGTAACGTCAAAATTAGACGACACTGTTTCTATAACAATAATTTTTGAGAAGACTCAAATGAAGCCGTTTCTTGTTGCATGTGACCTGTGAACTCTCCCCAATCTTTAGAGGAGGGAACCTGTTGAGTGAAAAACAGGGGACTGGACTGAAATGTGTATTTTAACTAATACTATGAATTTCAGATGGATAAAATATATTTTATGTCTAAATTGGTAAAAAAAAAAAAAAAAACAATACAAAAAATATAAAATTTCTGAAAGACTTAATTATATTTCATGGTAAAGTGTAGAGTTATAGTGGGAGCGGGCTGAAATCTGATATTTTCAGTGGTCTTTACATGTATCTTAAAATTACAATTCGAGTAAAGTAAAAGACATTTAATAATGTTTCATATAGATTTTAACGCATGTCGTGTCCTGTGGTCAGAAAAAGCACCGATTCAGTATCATATATACATACAAGTATGACTTTATGTACGTAAATGCATCAATAATAATAACACTGACGGGGGGGACTCTTAATGTGTATGGTGATACTTTAAGTCCATGTTGTTGCAAATACTTTCGGACTACAGGTATGATTTCAAACGCTGGTGTTTTTTCGTACAGTGGTAGAAGGTCGCGAGTTCGACTCCCGGCTCTGGCAGGACCTTTCTGTGTGGAGTTTGCA